GTCCCTCGGTCTGGGATGGGGGGGATTGTGTCCCTCTGTCAGGGGGCAGAGCCATTACCTGCTGGTGGAAGGGCCGGGGCAGCTCCTCACACTCCAGGGCCAGCTGGTGGCACAGCCGCACCATGAGGGCAGGACCCGCGGGCACCGACACCTCAATGGCCCGCACCTCAGGGACCCAAGCGTGGCTAAAGACAGGCCCTGCAGAGCAGGCAGGGGGTCAGCTGCTACCGCCGTCCCCCCAGGACATCTCCCAACCTCATCAGTCTCACCGGGTGGCTCAGCGGTCACCATGCGGCTGCAGCTGAGGGCCAAGCCCCGATCTGGGATGGTGCGAAGGGAGACGAGGACTTGCCGGCCGCTCTCTGCCGGGAAGCAGTCGAACTGCACCTGCCACTGCGGGGAGCAGGGCGTCATGGAGGATTCCGGGCCTTGGCGTGCCCCGCTCCACCGCCCACCGCGGACTCACCGCTGAGCTGCCCAACACCCGGCGTCGCTGCCAAACCTGCAGCCAGCCAGCCCGGTTGGAGTCCAGCTCCAGGAAGGTGAGCTGCAGTCCCCGGACACCGCCGAGCTCTGCGAGAAACCGGCGTGGGGCGCTGACACGGGTGGGGGAACTGGCTGTGCGTCCCCTGGCGCGGGATGCGCGGCCTCGCCGCCCCCGCCCGTACCTGAGGAGGGGAGGGCCAGGCGCACCCTGAGGCAGGGCTGGCAGGGCTGCGCGGGCAGGCACAGCCGGGCAGGGCTCAGCGACAGCGCGGGCGGCTCCAGCGGCGGCACCGGGCGGGGCGGGCGGCGGCAGCGGGGGCGGCTCAGCGTCCTGTCGGCTGCAGGGCGAGAGCAGACGGGGGGAGGCCGTGCGCCGCGGTCCCGCAGGCTGTAGGAGCCCTAGGGACTGGGAGTGCTTGGAACGGGGACAGCCCCGGGGAGTCCCGGGGTGTAGTCGGAAGGGAGGTGCCCCGGGGATCCACAGTCCTGACAAACCGGGAACCTCGGTGATTCGGAGTCCTCGGAAGCGGGAATCCTTGGGGTTCGGGAGTGCTCGGAAACAGGGAGGTCCGGGGATCCAGAGTCTTTGGAAGCGGGGAGCCCCAGGAGCCAGGAAGTTTCGGGGATCGGGAGCCCTCGGAAGCGGGGAGCCCGGTGCCCCGGAAACCTGGAGCGCCCCGCCCCCGCCCCTCCATCCTCCGGGACCCAATAGCCGCGGGCAGGGGAAGCCCCACCATCCCACCAGCCGCACCCCGGAGCCGGCATCGCCGGGCAGGAGCAGCCCCGCGCTGACAGCCCTGCCCCGCCGCTACTCACCGATGGCTCGGCATTCCTGCAAGCAAAGAGACGGGGGTGAGCGCGGCGCCGCCCGCCCCCCACACCTTCCCCCGCCACTTCCCTTCCCCGGCACTCACGAAGTTGGCGGAGACCCGGAGGCGGGTCACGGCGGCCCCTGTCCTGGACGGCAGCAGCAGCAGCAGCGCGGCGGCAGCGGCGAGCAGCACCGGGCGCCCCATGGCCGAGCGCCGCCGCTCCCCGCCCCGCCCCGGGCCGGCCCCGCCGCATTCCTCCACCGGCACGTGCGGCCCCGCCGGCCCCCCCCCGCCAGGCGGCGCTTCCTGCGGCGCAGACACGCGTGGGAGAGCGGACGGTGCTTTATTTCCATAGAGCAACACGCGGAGGAAAGGGCATGCACCCTCGGGACCCTCCACGGCCCCAGCCCTCGTGGGTCTCCCCCTTGCATGCGAGCTCGGGGCCGTGGTGTGGCTCAGACACTCACCCCGTGGTCCCCGAGGATCCCCCACCCACCGGAGCTGCGCCAGCGCTGCCCCACAGCACTGAACTGCAGAGCTTCGGCACCTCACGGAGCCCACCTATCCCCACTCATTTCTTCTTCTTCTCCTGCGTGCTAGTGAACCAGGAGTCCAGCAGCTTCTTGCTGTAGTAGAGTTGCCAGCCATGCACCTGCGCGGCCACCACCACCACCAGGTACATGACAGAGACGGCCGAGAAGCCGAAGATGAAGCGGTAAGCTTTGCCGTGGCGGTACAGCTGCTGTGCCATGGGGAACATCTCCATGGCCCCGTAGATGAGGGGAGCGATGGAGAAGAGGCCGGTGCTGATCATGGAGAGTACCAGGTAGCTGATGTTGTTGCGGGGGAAGGACAGGAGGCCCAGGAGGGAGGGCAGGATGCTGAGCAGGTAGGGATACTCCCACTGGTAGGGCATGGCCACCTGGTCGTGAGGCAGCAGCTTGAGATGCCCCACGACCATCTGTGCCAGGAGCAGCAGCCAGATGACCACATGCGTGTAGATCAGTTTCTTGATCTCCGACTTGAGGGTCACGCTGGAAGAGAGAGTGTGGGGCCATCAGCCACTGCTGGGGTCGCGTGTCCCCCCCGGAATCCCGGGAAAGGGGACACCTACCTCATCTGGTAGTGCGAGGCCACGCGCTCCCGGTGCTGGAAGTCGCTGCCGTCGGTGCCGGCGGCGCGGGGACCCCCGCGGGAAGCCATGGCGCTGTCCTGGGGAGACACAGCGTCGGGCGGGGCCGCCCTCCCTGCCCGCCTCCCCAGCGCAGCCCCGGCACCAGCCCCCCGAGCCTCCCCCCGACAGCGACAGCCCCGGGCCTCCCTCCCCGTGACCGCCCGGCCCTCCGGGACATCCCCGCGGTGACCCCCCAGGGGTGACACCCCCGGCCCGCCGCTCCCCGCCGCGCCGCACCTGCGGGCGGGACCCTCTGCCCGCGCTTCCGCTGCTCTATGGCCGCGGCCGCCCGCTCCGGATGCCGGGGGCGCCGCTCGGCGCAGGCGCGGCGGTGTCGCCATGGCGGGGACCGGGAGCGCCGCTGCCGCCGCCGTGCGCGGGCTGGCGCGGCCGGGACCGGGACCGGGAGCGCGCAGCGTGGGGTCAGCGGGGCGCGGGGGGAGCGGGTGTGCGTGGGGTGCGGGTGTGCACACCCATGGGTGTGCTGGCACCTGGAGATGCACACGCGTGGGTACAGAGCGGTTATGGGGCCCTTGTGGGATTGGGGACGTACCGGTGGGGTTCACCTTTCAGGTGTGTGAGCACAGAGGGGTTGGGGAAGTATGAGGGTGCGGAGACACGTGGAGAGGAGGGCAGACAGTGCTGGGTGAGATTTATGGACACGCAGAGTGGGGTGCAGGGAAGGTGCTGAGGGAAGTCCCACCTGTGTCCCCCCCCGCCCACTCCGTCCCCTGCAGGTGGAGGCGGCTGCTGGGCCCCAAGGAGACGCTGAGGCTGTTGGAGGGCTCTGTGGTGCACCGGGAAGGTACCTGCGACAGGGCAGAATGGGGGCAGGGGAGACAGTGAGGGATGTCCACCCCTGACCAGACTTCCCCTCACTAGGAGCCCTGTTGGCACTGAGCAAGCCCCCCGGCCTCCCCATTCTGGGTGAGTACAGGACAGCAATGGGGGATCTGCAGTGGTGGGGGGTGCCTATGTGGGGGGCTCAGCAGGTGCTGATCTGCCAGCATCTTCCCAGGGCGGCCTGGGGACCTGAGCCTGGATTCACTGCTGCCAGCACTGAGACGACGCCTGGGCCTTGCTGCTGAGCTCCACGTGGTGAAGGCTCCTGCCAGGTGTGGTAGGAAGTTCCAGGCTGGAGGTCCTGGGGTGGAGCTAGGGCTGCCTTTCCCAAACCTCCAGGTCTCAAGCAGCCATGTCCCACAGGGAGTATTCTGGCCTTGTCCTCCTGTCCAGCTGCTACCACACCACTAAGAAGCTCCACCAGTTCTTCACCAGTGCTCGTAGGAGAGGCCAGTACCCTGCCACATATCGGTGAGTCCTTGGGACCCTGCCATGCTGGCATGGAGGTCCTGTCCCCTTCTCACCACCTTACCCTGCAGTGCCGTCACCGTGGGAGTCCCAGCAGAGGTGGAGGGTGAAGTCTCCACTGGGCTGTGCTGGCAGCAGCAGGGGGACAGAGCCATGGTAAGGGGGTGCTGGTGGGCTGGGGGCACGGGAGATACCCCAGGGAGTTCTGAGGGCTGTGCTCTGCAGGTGGTGCCGGTCCCAGCCCCAGGACGCCGCAGCCTGGCCAGGAAGGATGTGAAGAGCACCCTGACACACTACCGGGTGCTGAGTACCACAGGGGGCTGTGCCCTCCTCCAGCTCCAGCCCAGGACGGGTGAGTGGCCCCCCAACACCTCCGCCACCCCAGGGAGTTTCCTGACTCCTTGGGGTCAGGAATCTCACCTTCTCCCTGTTTCTCCCCAGCCTTCCCAGAGCAGCTCCAGGTGCACCTGACACTGCTGCTGTGCCCAGCCCTGGGTGACCATAAGCACTCTTCCCGCGTGGGCAGGGTGCTGGGAGTGCCCTTCTGTCTGCCCCTCGAGACTGCCCCGACCCGCACACAGGTACGTGGCCGGGGGGGATGTGAGGTGGGGCATTCAGCACAGCCCTCAGTGATCCCACTGACCTGCCCACTCACATTGCAGGTACTGGACGAGGAGTTGCTGTCCCGGCTGGGGCTTTCTCCACGGCAGCTCCATCACCTCCCACTCCACATCCACCTGCAGGAGCTAGTGCTGCCCGAGGGCCCCCTCTGTGCCCCCCCACCACCCTACTTCCTGCACACTCTGCACTCTCTGGGGCTGCCTGAGCACTAGGAGCCCTAGGGCTGCAGGGGGACACCCACTCCACCCTTCTGCTCTCTGCCACCCCATTAAAATTCCCCCTGCTGCCTGGGTGGCCCAGCACTCAGTTCTTTTCTTGGCACACAGAGGATGCATTTCTCCCAACTGTCCCTCTGGCATTGTTGAGGGCACCAGCCCTGCCACCATTCTCTGCCTGCCCTGGTTCCAAGTGTTTGAATGCAGCAGTGTCATCACCCACCACAGCTCTGTCTGGCAGGGGCAACCACAGGCAGCAACAGAGGCCACTTTTCCTGCCTGCTCTCTGCCCTGGCAGCACCAGTTCCCACCCACAGCCCCATCCCAGGGGCAGTCCTAGCCCTCCCCACAACTCTCACACACAGAAGGTCTGAGACAGACTCCTTACCACAGAATTATTTTAAAGGGGAAGGAGGGAGAAGGTGGGTACCACGACACAGCAGTAGGAGCTCTTTGGGATGAGAGGCAGCCAGTGTTGGCTCAGCAAGGACAGTCAGGGTGCTGTCCACTTCTGGGGGTGTCTCAGAGTCCCAAGTTTTCTGCATCCCTTTGGGAGCTGCTGTGTGCTTCTGCTCCAGGCATAGGGTCCTGGTGCTCTGAACAGACAGAGGTTGTTGCAGGGGCTTGGCAGGAGGGAAGGAGCGTGCAGAACCCTGGGTTAGCCAGGGGTTGCTGTGGGTTCTCCGGGGTGGTGGCATTGGCATCCAGTCCAGGTGACAGCCATTGTTCTGGGGCTGTGCAGCCTGGGGCTGCCCAGGCAGGTGACCAAGCTGTGACAGCCCCTTGCTCCCAGCAGAAGACGCCTGAGGCTTTGGTGGTGCTGGGGAGTTAGAGCTGGTGGAAGAGCAGTGGCTCGGTTGCTCCAGAGGCAGCTTCTCTTTTGCTGTTCTGGGCTGGGTCACCTTGGTTGTTCTGCCCCCTGGGGACACAGAAGAGTTGGAAGCACTGGACACAGTGACGGTGGGAGATCGATGCCATGCTCTCTGGGGCACCTGGGTGGTCCTGCCTCCTGGGGATGCAGACAACTTGGAGGCACTGGGCACCATGGCAAGAGATGGATGCTGTGCTCTCTGCAGCACCTGGGTGGTTCTGCCCCCTGAGGACAGGGAGAGCTTGGGGGCACAGGGCACAGTGGTGGGGAACTGATGCTGTGCTCGCTTGGGTACATGGGTGGCTCTGGCCCCTGGGGACACAGAGTGGTAGAGAGTATTGGCCACAGGTGTGGGGAGCTTGTCCTGGGCTTGCTGCTCTGGTGACTGGAGGTTCTTCAGGGAACAGCCTTTGACCATCAGCTTCACGTGTGCTGACAGAGGCTTGGGCACAGCTGCCTGCAGGGAGACAGCAGGTAGTGGGGGGCTCAGGGTGTCTGGGGGGTGTGTGACCCCCATCCCCCCAGCCTACCTCCTTGTAGATGAGCTCAAACGCTCCAACGGAACAGGTGGGGTTGTCCTTGCGGTCGAGCACGAGGCACAGCGTGTCCCGCTGGACGTTGGCACAGAGCTGTCGGGTCACTGCCGAGGAGGGGCTCATGGTGGGGCAGGAGTTGATCTCCAGCAGCCAGGGCTGGCAGTCCTCCCCGACAACAAAGTCGGCCCCGTAGAGCTCGAAGTTGCCCTTGCGGAAACGCACCCGGTCCCGGGCACTGCGCAGAGTGTTCAGGATCGCCGCCTTCATACCGGGCACCAGCACCTGGTGCCAAGCATCCGCCTGCCCCAGCTGTGCCAGGTACTCCTGGAACTGCTTGTTTGACCAGGTCTTGTCAGGGGGCACACGGGGGTCCTGATCTGGTGACATCTTGTACCACTTCTGGACGGAGACGTTGCAGAGGTGCCTGGCACTGGAGCAGGGAGAGTGGGGCTGGGTCAGGGGTGCCAGGGTGCTGGGGTGTGGAGAGCCAGGCTGAGGGGCACTCACCGCTCCAGGTGATGCAGGGAGAAGGGCCGGGAGCAGAAGCGCAGGTAGCAGTCTTGGTAGAACCAGACAGTCAGTGGGTTCCAGTCAGTCACAACAAACCATTGCCGGATGTCGAATTTGGTGCCGAAAATGGTCAGCAGCTGCTCCACGTACTTCTGCACCACCCATCTGCCCACCTGCACCGAGGGTGCTGTGCAGCTCCATGCCAGCTGCAGCATCTCCTCCAGCCGCCTCATGCAGATGATGCCTGGGAAATATAGTCATAGTGGGACCCCTCCTAAATGGGGAGCTTCTGTGTGCTCCCCACTTCCCCCAGCCTTACCCCTGCCTTGGGATTCAGCACCGGGCTTGAGGATCCAGACATTGAGCTTGCCCTCCATGTCAAGCTGGGGCAGCTTCTCTGCCAGGCTCTGCAGCAGGTCCTGGCACTGCTTCCGCTGCTGTCTGGTCAGCACCAGCCCTGCCCCCTCACTGTGGAGGGGAAGGGGGCCTCAGCAGCAGCCCTGCCATGGTGCCCCCCGTCCCCCATTCTGCTCAGCACTCACTGTGCCACACGGTAGTATTGCTGCAGGAAGCGGTCCCAGTCGATGCATGTCCTGCAGGGGGACGGGGTGTTCCTGTCGATGTCCTGGTGCTGCAGAACGCCCAGGTGCTGCTTACAGATCTCCAGGGCTTCCTCTACCAGCTCAGGGTACAGGGGGGAGCCTGGCCGTGCTGTGGAATGCTTGGGGTGAGAGATGTGACTCCTATGCCAGCCTTGGGGCCAGAGCCTCCCTGTGGGATGGGTGGCTTTGGGTGCATGGGGATGGTATTGGGAGCACAGCACCCATAAGCTAGGCTAGTAGGAGGGAGTGGGGGATCCCAGGCCACAGCCATGAGCGGAGGCTGTGTCTCCAAGCTCAGCCATCAGTTTTCCCTAGCTGTATCCCCAGGCCCAGCTCCATGTACTCACCTGCTCCCTTGGCAGAGTTTGGGACCTGCTCAGTCCTCACTGGCCTGTCCCCAGCCTCCTCCAGGGCCAGTTTGAGCAGGCTACGTGCTGCTGTCAGGCGGAAATCCTCTGCAAGAGGGAGGCATCATCCCCAGCCAGTCCTGCACAGGACACTGGAGCAGTGGGAGCACAAGGAGGGACGGGAAGGCAACAGCCTTCAGCTCACCAATGAAAGCTTCTCGATCATCCATGGTCCCCAGCCGGTAGCACCGGGGGAAGAAGGTGTTGGGGTCAGCTTGCTCAATCCACGGAAGGTTTTGTAGGCTGAGGCACAGCCCCTCCTGTTTAGAGGAAGTTGTCAGTCCCTACTGGACCCCGTCCCCCTCCCCAGGGGCTCCAGCCTCCCACCTTGGTGGTGAACGCGTCCACCCGGGCATAGTGGTTCACCATGCTGTCCTGCTGCAGCAGCTGGCAGTCAACGGCCTCAGGGGAGTTGGTCCAGATGAAGTTTGGCAGCTGGTCCCGTGCCAGGTAGGACTGGCAGAGGGAGGAAGCCAGGGTGGGACACAGAGCCCCCGTCCCACCCTCATCCCCTGTCCAAGGCTGTGCCCATGCCTGGGGCCGTGGCAGAGCTCAGTCCCAGCCCTCTCTGCTAACCATGAGGCCATGGATGCCGTCGGGGTCCTCATCACACTGCTCTTCCTCCTCCTCAGCAGGTAGCCATGGGTGCTGCAGGGGGTCTGTGGTCCCCAGGAAAGGCTGTGCCCCACCGTGTGGGTGCAGCAGTACCTCCCTCTGCCTACCACCACCATTACTTGGAGCTGTCTGCAGCCGCTGCTTGTTGTGGTCTCCACAATGCTGCTCCAGCTGTCTGCCCACGTGGAGGAGCTTCCTCTCCACCCAGCCCCGGGCTCGCAGCAGGCGGCGGATGATGGGGTAGGGACCCTGTACCGAGAAGATCTTCTTCTCCTGTGCAAAGACCAGTGGGCTCAGCCAGCCCCAGCCCTGGTTCCTCTGGCTCAGCTCTCCTGAGCCAGAAATGCAATAAATGCAAGCAGGTGGCATTTGAGGGGTGTGAAATCAGGTCCCTCACCTTAACGGCCATCTCCACGTGCAGCTTGGCCTTCTTGAGCTGCTCAAGGTTAAGCGAGCGCTGGCAGCCAACCTGGTGGCTGGTGGTGGCTGCTGAATGCCCTATGAGGACAGCCCTGTCTGAGCCCACTGTCCCCATGTCCCCAGTGCCACAGGGCAGGCACGGAGAGGTAGAAAGCACTGACCTGACCTTTGGGCCCTTGGAAGGGTAGTCTCTGACCTGCTGAGCCTTGTGCCAGTGCCCCAGCTGCACTGCACAGTCCCGGGATGCCCCACAGTGCCCTTGTCCCCAGCCGCCTGGGCCGTGAGGTGGCTGAAGTGTACCCTGCTCAAGTGCTGTCTCTGTCTGGGGGTCTGTGTGCCTGCAGTGCTGCTCGCTGTGTCACGCTGTCCCATGGTAGCCTGAGGAGAGCTGTGGGTGGTTCTTCCTCCTCTGTGCCAAGCAGGTTGGCCTATTCCCCTGTCCTGCTGGGGACTTAAGTCGGAGTCCAGCACAGGACATGGCCTCCAAGCCCCAGTACCGCTGATCTCAGAATTCAGGAGGTGGCTCCCCCAAGCCCAGCACCACTGTGATGTCACAGCCCCAGCTCCAGCCACCACGATGGCTCCACTGCACAGAAGGGGGGACACAAACAGCCCCCTATGCCCATGGCCAGCCATCCCCCACTCAAACCGTGCACCCTGCCTGAAATCCTTTTATGCCCCACAACCTAAGCCCCTTGCTGTCCCCATGCCGACTTCAAGCCCTTTCAGACTCTCCTGACACCCCCACAGCCCCTCACACACCACCAGGATGACCCCACTGTTTTGTGTTGCCACACTGTGCCCTCCAGTTCCATGTCCTGCTCCCATTCCATGATCTGTCCCCCAAGGCCACAATGCCCTCCCCCATCCCCGGTGAGGCCCGGAGCGGCGGGAGGGAGGAGACGGAGGCGGGGATACAGCAAACAAGACCGTTTAAAAAACGAGACGAGACAAGGGGCAGCGGCCGGGGCCGCGCTGCCGCAAGCGGGGGCTGCTCCCGCCCAGCCCAGAGAGGGGCGGGCAGGGCCCGGCCCCGCCCAGCGGTCCTCGAGAAACGAGAGCAGGCACAGGCACAGTGCCCGGTGGGCACAAGCACAGGGGAGCCACGGGGTCCTGCACCACGGCCTAAAACTGGAGAGAAAACACATGGCTGTTAGTCCCTGCTTCCAGTGCTCCGAGAGCCCTCACCACCCTCCTGGCACCTGGGATGGGGGCCTTGGGTGGCCACTGCTCACAGGGATCCATGCTCAGCTTCTCCTCCCCAGGCACTGCACATCCATCTCAGCACCCACCAAAAGGGTCTCATCCCCTAAGGCTGCTGCTGCCTCTGAGAAAGTTCTGGGGGTCTCAAATCTGGCACTTCGTGAGCAAAAGGGATACAAGCACCTTTGGCATCCTTTCCTCCCTGTCCCCAAAGAGGCTCCTTAGACAGGGTGTCACCTGTCCTCATTAACGGGACAGGGGGACTCTGGGCACAATAGCCACACTGGCTTTGACCCCACACCCCATCCCAAAATGAGAGACCCCTCCTCCCATTTCAGAGTCTCACATTCTTAAGGAACTCCTCTGCCACAATGCGGGCCCTTGCATTGACAGAGAGTTTCATCTCGCTGATTTCCTTATCAATCTCCTCCATGAAGTGGATGACAAAGTCCACCAGCTTGTGCTTGTACATCTGCTCCGTGTGGAAGTTTGTGATCAAGAAGCTGATATCATAACCCTGCACAAAGAGAAGCACCCTAGGGTTTAGCACCCAAACCGCTGGCCATGCAAGCTCACATCCCAGTTCTGCACTGGACACTCTCCCAGGGCCAGAAGCAGAGCCAGGAGTTGTTCTGTCCCCTCCCTGTCCCCTCACCTCCACGGGCTTCCTGCGCAGAATAAAGAAGTTCTCAGCCCTCATCATCATGAAGCGCATGAATTTGTGGCACAAGATCTTCTCGATCTCATCAGCCTGCAGAGACAAAAGGGAAGTGAGGCTTCCCCAGAGGCTGAGCTGCCAGTCCCCTGCCCAAACCCCCCTCACCTGCTTCACGGCGATGCTGACGCGCACTGAGTTAATGGAGCCCTCGATGAGGACCTTCTCCTTCTCGTTCCTGCTGATGATCACCGGCTGCAACAGCAGCTCTTTGCTGCTCCTGAGAACAGAGGGAGGGCAGGAGTGACTCAGAAGGAAGCATTTACTGTGGGAAACAGGGAAGGGAAGCCACAGCGATCACGGGGATGTGGGGGCTTTCGCACAGGATGCTTCCGTGTCCCGAAGATGTTCCCCCTCAGGACAGACGCTCCCTCGGTCCCAAGCTAGATCCCCTTCCTCCTTCCCGCAGTCCCCCGGCTCCCTGCCGGCACTGGCCGTGAGCTAAGGGCTGGGGGCGGCCAGCGCACGGCAGGAACGGGCCAGCGGTCCCCAGGGCAGGCACCCAGGGCTCGGCAGGGCTCTCTCGGTGTTTCCTCCCGCCCCCGTACCTGACTTCCACCTCGGGCTTGTTGTGCCGCTCCACCACCTGCGAGGAGAAGTTCTCCAGGCACAGCGCGGCCTGCAGCGTAGCGCGCACCGCGTTCAGGTACGGGCGCAGCGTGGCGGTCTGCGGGGACACGGCGGCGGCGTCAGACCCCCACCGGAGCCCGGCGGTCGCGTCTCGCTCCCTGCCCCAGCCCCCGACCAGCAGCCCGCAGCATCCCGCAGCCCCCTCAGCCCCGCTCGCTCCGCCGGCCCCGGTGCCGACCCTCCCCAGCCTCCCCGCCGCCACTGCCGCGCTCGGGGCGCCCCCCGCCCTACCATGGTGGCGGCGGAGCTCCGGCCGGCCAGGCGGAAGTGGCTGATCGCCTCTTCCGGGATGCGCGGCACCTCCCACTGCGGCGGCAAGGAGGGGGGGCGGCGGGAGGCTCCCGCCCTGCGGCCTGGCCCCCCCCGCGGCACGGAGCAGGGTGGCGGCGGCGAGACTTGGCGCTGCTCCCCCCCGCGCCGTGCCGCGGTTGGTACGGGCCTGTCAGCGCTTCCATATTAGGGAAGGGAGATGGAGCGCGGGCCGGGCCAATGGGCGGCGGCGCGCGGCGCGGCGCGGCCAATGGGCGGCGGGGGGCGGGGCGCCCGCGGGGCCGGAAGGGGCGCCCGGCCCAGGCCCGGCCCCGCGGCCTCCGCTGCGCCCGGGGCCGCCCCGCCTCGGCCCCGCAGCCCCCCGCGATCTCCCGCCGCTTCCCCTCGGTGACCCCCCCGCCGGGTTCCTCGGTGATCCCCCCCGCTGTGTTCCCTCAGCGCCCTGGTGGTTCTCCCCACGTTCCTCTCAGCGCCCCGGCGATCCCCTACCCCGGGTTCCGCAGAGCCCCCATGCCCTCCGACCCTCCGTAGCCCCTCACTCCACTCCATTCCCTCCCGGCTTCCCCGCCCCCGACTCCCCCGTGTTCCCGTGCCGGTGCCCACCGCCATGAGCGAGCTGAAGGACTGCCCGCTGCAGTTCCATGACTTCAAGTCGGTGGACCACGTGAAAGTGTGCCCCCGCTACACGGCCGTGCTGGCCCGCTCGGAGGACGATGGCATCGGCATCGAGGAGCTGGACACACTGCAGCTGGAGCTGGAAACGCTTCTGTCCTCTGCCAGCCGCCGCCTTCGCGTCCTGGAGGCTGAGACACAGGTGCTGGGGCCGCGTTGAGCCGGGGACAGACCCTCTGTCTGGCTCCTTCCACCAAGGCGCTGCCTCTGCTCTGCCCCTGGCCAGCGCTGGGCACAGCATCTTATGGGACACCACTCTCTTCCAGATCCTGACGGACTGGCAGGATAAGAAGGGCGATCGGCGGTTCCTGAAGCTGAGCAAGGACCACGATGTGGGCACATCCGTAAAACATGGGAAGCCCAAGAAGCAGAAGCTGGAGGGCAAAGGGGGCCATGGGACTGGGCCTGGGCCCGGCCGGCCCAAGTCTAAGAACCTGCAACCCAAGATCCAGGAATATGAGTTCCAGGATGATCCCATTGATGTGCCCCGCATCCCCAAAAATGATGCTCCAAACAGGTGTGTGGGTGTTGGGAGGCATTGGGATCATCTTTCTCCTTCCTTGGAGCACATGGCACAAGCGCTGCCTCTAGCCTGAGAGAAGGGGCCACAGGGGGAAAGGGGACATCTGTCACCCTCCATGTGCCCCCCTGCATCTCCCTCTCACAGTCCATCCGTTCTTGCAGGTTCTGGGCATCGGTGGAGCCGTACTGTGCTGATCTCACCAACGAGGAGGTCAGAGTCCTGGAGGAGCTGCTCAAGCCGCCAGAGGATGAGGCTGAGCACTACAAGGTGAAAAGCTCCTAAGCCCCTTCCTCTGCCCTCTCTCCCCATCCTCTCTGGCACCTCACAGTGACTCTTCGTGCCTGGGATGCTGCCATGGCACTGGTGAGGTGGGAGGCAAGGCAGAGGCTCTAGGAGCTGTGCTGAGCCTTGCTCTTGCAGATTCCACCGCTGGGGAAGCATTACTCCCAGCGTTGGGCACAAGAGGACCTGCTGGAGGAGCAGAAAGATGGAGCCCGGGCAGCAGCTGCTGCTGACAAGAAGAAAGGTGTTCTGGGGCCACTGACTGAGCTGGACACTAAAGGTGCCCCAATGCCACCCTGCCTTTGCCCCGAGGGGTTGGGAGGGCTTGTGCCCAATGGAGCCAAGCCCAAGAAAGGCTGAGGTAGCCCTGCCCCACTGATCATGTCTGTGCCTTTGGGGTTGCTTTTTCCCCCCTCCCGCTTCTTCCCAGATGTTGATGCCCTCCTGAAGAAGTCAGAAGCCCAGCACGAGCAGCCAGAGGATGGATGTCCCTTTGGTCCCCTGACACAGCGTCTCCTGCAGGCCCTTGTGGAGGTGAGGGGCTCCAATGGTGCTATGCCATGGAGCATTGCTGCCAAAACCCAGCACTGTAACCCTTCCCTCGTGCTCCCTTTGCTAGGAGAACATCATCTCCCCTGTTGAGGACTCCCCCATCCCTGAGATCACTGGCAAGGACTCGGGAGCTGACGGTGCTGGCACATCTCCCCGCAGCCAGAACAAACCCTTCAGGTGAGCAGCTGAGGCGGGCCCAGAGCTCAGCGCTGCCCGTGGGTGCACCGAGCACGCTGCTGGCTCCCTGCCACTGGGAGTCACGGGGAGCAAAGGGCGTGTGGTGGGCAGCAGCCACTCTCACCCCGGCAGTGTCCCCCACACCAAGTCACTGGAGGGGCGGATCAAGGAGGAGCTGGTGGCCCAGGGCCTGCTGGAGTCAGAGGACCGTCCGGCTGAGGACTCGGAGGACGAGGTGCTGGCTGAGTTACGCAAGAGGCAGGCAGAGCTGAAGGCGCTCAGCGCACACAACCGCACCAAGAAGCACGAGCTGCTGCGGTGAGAGCGAGCGGGCTGGGATGGCTGCGGGCAGGGGGCTGCCTGGCAGGGCCTGACGTGCCCCTGTGCCCCCCAGGCTGGCCAAGGAGGAGCTGCACCGGCAGGAGCTGCGGCAGCGTGTCCGCATGGCTGACAACGAGGTGATGGATGCATTCCGCAAGATCATGGCTGCCCGGCAGAAGAAGCGCACGCCCACCAAAAAGGAGAAGGACCAGGCCTGGAAGACCCTGAAGGAGCGGGAGAGCATCCTCAAGCTGCTGGATGGGTAGCAGGGACCAAGGACCCCCCCTATTCTGTGTGGACTTCACCTGCAGGGGGCTGCCCTGCCTGAGCCCTGCCACCATGGGATGGAGCTGGCACAGCTCCCCCATGCCCTGAGTCTGGTCAGCCTCCCTGCTCGGATGAAGGAGCCCAGCTGCTGTCCCCTCCCCGTGTAGGGCTGTCACTGACCCAAGCTGGGCACCCGGTGGAGTTGCCGAGGTCCCTCCCTTGAACACCCCCACCCCGGCTGGTGGCTTCCACTCCCACGTCCCCCCTGCACTCCCCTGTTACTCGGGTGACATCAGCCAGGTCACTGCAGGGGCCAGATGTGGTGGCTGTGATGGTGCGATTCCCACGGTCCCCTGTCCCTCTCTGTGATGCGGGGCAGGGGGAGATCCCAGCCCCACGGGTGGACTGGGGGGAGTGGGGAGGGGAAGCGGCTGGAGGGATGAGGGGTCTGGTGGGTGGGTGGCCGAGCTCTCCATGTACCGGTGGTTTCTATTGCCGCGAGCACCGGCAATAAAGGCAGCCGTGTGCAGGTGACGGTGTGGTGACATTGGGGGACAGCTCTGCCCGGCTGTGGGGGTGGGCTCGGTCTCGGGAGGGGGGCGAGGAGTGGCGGGGCTGGGTCTGTCCTGCAACTCCACTCGTGCCTACCCGAGGAACGCCCTCGCATCCCCAGCACAGACGCACGGTGGGCCGGGGTGAGGGGGTGTGGGGTGTGGGTGACGCCCCGCCGCGCTTGCCGCGCTCCCTCCCCGCGCTTTTCCCGCGTGTCCACGCGCGGCCGCGGTCACGCGTGTCCCCCCCGGCACCGCGGCCGAGCCGCCCCCTCCCATTGGCAGCGGCCGCGCGCCGCCCGCCCCTCCCGTGACGTCAGCGCTGTCCGGCGGCGCCGCGCCGGGAGGAGTCGCCGCCGCTCCGCCGCGGGGCCCGGGGCCGTCGGTAAGGGCGGGCGGGGCGGGGGCGGCGTGCCACGCGCGGAGGTCGGTCCCACCGTGACACTGAGTGGCGGCGGTGGAGCCGCGCATCACCCGCGCCGCGCAGCTCTGCTCCCACGCGTGTCCCGCCCGGCGCCGCCGTGCCGGCTGGCGGGCGTGGGGAGCGGCGGTGGGGACCCCCCCGTGCACCTACGCGCGTGTCGGGAGCCCTCCTGCTGCCTGCCCGCCCCCCACCCGCCCCATGGGCGGGCATCGGGAGGGTCCCAGCGCGTTCCCCCTCTGGGGTAATCTACGCCAGAACTCCTGCGTCGACACAGCTTGTTCCCGTCACCCCAGGATGACAACCACCTCCCCGCAGCACCCTGTCATCCCCGTGTCCCCATGCCATCCCAGCACGCTGACAGCCTACCCCACTCGTGTCACAGGTGGGAGTGAGTGGCCCGACAGGGCACCATGCCGCTGGGGCAGGATGGGCCCAGCTGGAAGAAGAGGATCGAGGATATTCAGCGGATCTATGATTTCCGAGATGTCCTGGGCACGTGAGTTGCAGACTGGAGTGACACACTAGTGACAGCCCACTCACAGGGATGGGTCTGGCCCCTCAGGCTTTGCACAACCATCCATGTGGAAATAGTTCAAATCTGGCCCAAGGTGGGACTTGCATATGTCCTGAAATAGCTCAAATCCTGGCCCAAGGTGGGACTTGTACCTGTGGGGCACAGGTGCCACCTCCCTCTGGCGTTGGCTGGTTCCTGGGCTGTGCTGAGGGTACCTGAAGGTGGTCCCCTGGCTGGCAGAGGGGTTCCTGGCAGAACCCCATGGTAAGGCTCTTAGGCTGGATTAGCAGGTTAATTATGTCGGGGATTAGGGCCCAGCACAGTGCGAACACACTGTCTGTCCCTCCTGTCTCTTCCCCACCTGGGCACTGCCAACAGCTCTGGCTGGCGCCTGGCTGGCCCTGGGTGCTACAGGATGGCACAGTGGAGAGCTACTGCAACCTCCAGCACAGCTCGACCTTGGCAACACCACAACCTTACCCTGCCTGATATGGGGATGGTGCAGCCACACTGGGAGGGCGGAGGGTTCCAGGCATCCTGTCGCTGCCAGGGTCCATGTCCGGCCATCCCAGCCAGCCACTCCTGCTTGCTTTTATCCTATAAATAGCTGGACTTTCTGCCTGTCACCATGACAATCGTGGCATGGCGGCATTGGCAGCTCTGGCTGGTGGCCCCCGTGCCCTGCTCATCCCTCACCCCCTCAGGGGGGCCTTCTCCGAGGTGGTCCTGGCGGAGGAGAAGGCGACACGGAAGCTCGTGGCCATCAAGTGCATTGCCAAGAAGGCTCTGGAGGGAAAGGAGACCAGCATTGAGAACGAGATTGCCGTCCTCCACAAGTAGGGGCCGTCCCAGCAGTGGGGTGGGGGTTTCACTCTGTGCCCCCCGCCCCAACCCGGCACAGCCCCCTACTGCCAGCACTCATTGCCGCCTGCTATTGCCAGTGCCCAAAATAGCCAGCGGCGCGTGATGACCTGCGGCACGGAGCCTGGCTGCTCCCTGTCCCTGGGGGCTGGCGTGGGGGCAGACCAGTGCCCCCTCACCGCCCCTCTGTGCCTCCCCCTGCAGAATCAAGCACCCCAATATCGTGGCCTTGGATGACATCTACGAGAGTGGCACCCACCTCTACCTCATCATGCAGCTGTGAGTGACGTTGTGGGGCTCCAGAGGAGTGGGGGGGCCATGCTGACAGGTGCTGCTGTCCCTGCAGGGTCTCGGGGGGGGAACTCTTTGACCGCATCGTGGAGAAGGGCTTCTACACTGAGCGGGATGCCAGCGCCCTGATCCGGCAGATCCTCGATGCCGTCAAATACCTGCATGACATGGGTATCGTCCACCGCGACCTGAAGGTGAGCAGCTGAGGGGGGACACACACAGCACTGTCATGGCACCAGGCAGGAGGAGACCCCAGTGTCACCCCTCCCTCTACCCTCCTCTCCTCGCAGCCCGAGAACCTGCTCTACTACAGCATGGATGAGGACTCCAAGATCATGATCAGTGACTTCGGGCTGTCAAAGATCGAGGGCTGTGGCAGTGTCATGTCCACAGCCTGCGGCACCCCTGGCTATGTGGGTGAGCGCCTACCGTGGGCTGCCACTACCCTAGGTGTGGGGTTGGGATCCCCCCACAGGTTGGGGTCCCCCCTCACCGCTGCCATCCCCCCCAGCCCCTGAGGTGCTAGCACAGAAGCCCTACAGCAAAGCAGTGGATTGCTGGTCCATCGGAGTCATCGCCTACATCCTGTATGTAATCCCCCTTCCCACTCCCTTCTCCTCCTGGGAGCCTGGCACCTTGGGGCTGCCTGGGACTAGCAGCCCCTTCCCCACTGCCTCCCTAGGCTCTGTGGTTACCCTCCTTTCTATGACGAGAACGATGCCAAGCTCTTCGAGCAGATCCTGCAGGCTGAGTACGAGTTTGACTCACCATACTGGGATGATATCTCGGACTCAGGTGAGCTGGGACCACCAGGGCAGTGGGACCTGTGAGCCTGGCGCAGCTTCACAGTATCCAGAGGAATGGTGGACACAGGCACTGAGAGCCGCTCCATGCTCTGTTCCAGCCAAGGACTTTATCCAGCACCTGATGGAGAAGGACCCTGGCAAGCGATTCACCTGTGAGCAAGCCCTGCAGCATCCCTGGTAATGGGGAGACCTATTGCTGTCTGCCCCCTTCTCCAGCTCACCCCACAGCAGCCATGGGATAGGGGTGCCCTGGCTGACTTCTGTCTTGCTCTAGGATTGCCGGGGACACAGCCCTGGACAAGAACATCCACCAGTCAGTGAGTGAGCAGATCAAGAAGAATTTTGCAAAGAGCAAGTGGAAGGTGAGTGTGGGGTGCTGGAGGGTGTTAGGGGGTGCAGCAGCCCCTCAGGCACCCCATACCAGCTGACAAACACTGTGGGGTCAGTAGCAAGCTTTCAACGCCACGGCGGTGGTGAGACACATGAGAAAGCTGCAGCTGGGAACCAGCCAGGACGTCCCTGGGCAGACAACTCCCACGAGCCCCAGCGAACGGTTGGTCGGGGGGACCAGCAATGGTGAGCCCTGAACCCCCCCATCCCAGACCCCTCAGGGCTGCCACCAGGATCTCACCCTGTTCCTCCCTGCAGGGTCAGAGTGTGGGCACCCACCCACAAGCAGAGCTCAGCGTCTCCCACCTGACTGAGCACACAGCTGCCTCCAAGGGGGCCCACCATGTGGGGTGGGGGGGCTCTGCAGTGCAGGAGCAGGGGAGATAGTGTGGAGGCATCCTGCTTGGCTTCTCCTGGTTATGTGGAGCTGCCCCCACTGCAGCCTCACAGCAGAATTCTGCATCAGGGCAGGAGCACACCACAGAGCCCCCCAGCTTGGGGCTTTGTCCCGGGCCCCTTCCCATGCCACTTCCCTCCCTCCACGCCTGGCCTGGCACTGTCCCACACCCCCAACCCCAGCATGTTCAAGGACAATTTTCCAAATGGATGTTTCTATTTTATTGCTTGTAATAAAGGCAAGAGGCCAAAGGTGCTTGGCTCAGCTCTGCACCGAGGGAGCTCGACACAGCCCTGACCCCCCCAGCTTCACTGCCCAGGGCAGCAGCTTCCCCCATGCACATAGTGGGCAGGTGACAGGCAGCTGCCCACACTCCTCCATCCCAGGCTGGCAGCAGGTGCAGTGTCCCACTCAAGTCTCTGTTCCTCCTGGGGTGTCCCTAGAGGAGCCCACCCCCATAGCTGTCCCAGCCTCAGCTCTCTCAGGCCTGATGCTGGCTGCTGGCTGGCTTCTGGCCCTTGCGGAGGTCGGCACAGAACAGGACCTGGAGTGGGGAGATAGCGGGGTGGGCATGGCTTGGGGTGGGGGCAAGGGAGCCAGGAAGTGGGGGGTACTCACTGCCTGCGCCCAGCCAGCACGAGGGCCCCACAGCCCCCGGAAGAAGTCGCCTGCAGAAAGAGGTTGAACGCCAGCGTGGGGGTACACTTACACCATCCACCATCCCCGAGGGTCCCACATCAGGATCCAGCCCTGCCCTCACCGATCTCCTGGTAGGCCCGGGGGGTGAGGCTCTTGCCGCCCAGCGCCACGCCATAGCGCTGCCGTGCGATGTGCCACACGTGGGTGTCCACAGGCACCGCCTCCGCCTTGTCCAGGGACAACAGGCAGACGCAGTCGGCCACCTGCCACCAGCAGCACCCAGTCAGCCCCCAGTGCTGGTCTCTGCTCCCTGTCCCACCCTCGTCCCGGCACCCACCTTGGCACCTACCCCAGGCAGGGCGCACAGCACCCTCCTGGCCTCGGCATAGGGCGCGGTGCGGAGCTGGCACAGCCCCTCAGAGCCGAGCCCCTCAGCGATGGCCCGCGCACTCCCGCTGACAAATTTGGCCCGGTACCCGAAGCCCAGCGCCCGCAGCCGGGCCTCGGCATCAGCACCTGGGAGGGGCACGGCAGAGGCACTCAGTGGGCGCAGGCGAGGCCATGGCAATACGACAGTGGCAGCAGCGGGGCGGTGGTGGACCTGTGAGCGCCGAGAGAGATGGGAAGGCATGGAAGGGCCGGGAGTCGAGGCAGCAGAGACGGCGGCCGAAGGCCTGGCAGAGGCGCTCGATCATGGCAGTGATGCGGGAAATGTGGTTGTTGGAGGTGCAGATGAAGGAGAAGAGGCACTCGACGGGGTCCTGCCGCAGAACCCGCACCCCTGCAGGCAAGATGCTGTGAGGGGACGCCGAGCAGGTGCTACGGCCATCCCCTGTAGCTCCGTGGGGCCGCCTCACCTGGGAAGTCATTGGCCACCTTGCGGAACAGAGGGTCGGCCGCCCCCCAGGCATGGTACAGGGGCGGCAGCCCCACGTCCAGCTGGAAGTAATCGCGCAGGATCCGCTCCGTCTCTGCGGCGCTCAGCTTCGCTGCTTTGGCGGGGCGCTCATCCCGCTCCTCCTGGTGCTCCTCCTCCTCGCCGTACACGGTGTACCAGAGCCGGTCCCCGTCCTGCCGCAGAGTCCAGACGCGGCCCCCGAGCACGCCCGTCCACGCCCCCGGGCTGCTCTCCCACCACCTGCCGCACACGGGGGGGTCGGGGCCGGCTCGGAGGCGCAGGGCTGGGCCGGGGCACACCCGAGCCCCCCGGGCCGGCTCACCGGAAGCTCTGTCCCGAGGACAGCACCAGGTCCAGGCGCAGCTCGGCCGGCGGGCACGGCAGCCAGCGCCACAGGGACGGGCAGGCGGAAGGGGCGTCGCGCAGCTTCATGGGGGTCGGGGAGCAGCTGCGCGCCGCTGCCCGCGGGGGCGGCGGGGTGAAGGAACCGCCCGGCTGCCCCACAGCCCCGGCCCGGCCCCACACCGCCCCACAGCCGCCCAGCCCGTCCCCCGGCCCCGCCGCTCCCGCCCCACCTTCCGCTCGCAGCCGGAAGCGCGGCCGGCGCCGCCGCACGCCCGCCCAGCTCCCGCTCCCGCTCCCTCCCCGCCCGCAGCGGCCGCGGCTCCGCAGTGGAGGTTTATTTTCTAAGAATCAATAGATTTTTTTTTTTCTTCCTTCAAAATAAATACAAACAACGTCCGAGCGCGGGGCCGGCCAGGGGCTGGGCCCAGGGTGGGGGGGCAGCAGGGGGGTGCGGGGCGCGGGGGCCGCCCTGGAGCACGGCGGGGCCAGAACAGCATCCCGGGGAGCGGCGGGCTGGGGGGAGTGGGCACCGGGAATGGGAGAGTGGGGGGGGGCCACGACGGATCGGCCCCAGCCCTCCCGGTCCCCCGGCCCCCCGTGGGTGCAGGCCAGCTGCACGGCGTGGGGGTCACCGAGCCCCGTTTGCCCTGAGATTCGGCGGGGGAGCGGCCGGCGGCACCGGCTCAGTCGCTCTCGCTGGAGTCGCTGCTCTGCTCGCCCTGCACCTTGTTGCGGTGCTGCATGGCGCGGTGGTAGGCGATCTGCACCGACTTGCGGATGTTGGACTTGCGGCCCTCCAGCATCTTCTCTTTGTCCAGGTCTTGGTTCACCCCCAGAGGCACCAGCTTCGTCCGGGGCAACCACTGCCTGTGGAGAGCGGGGGGCCACCTCGTTTGAGGGTTACAATCGTCTCTGGGGACCCCCCCCAAAGCCCTCGGTGCCCTGGCCTTACCAAGTGCGCTTGTTGTCAAAGAAGAGAACAAGGTAGAGGTGCTCGCGTGCTTCCTGAGTCATCTGCTCCCCCAGCTTCAGCACCTCCAAGGGGGGCACGGGGATGGGGACCCCATGGTGGAACATGCCTTCCCGCGGCATCTTGGGGTCAATGATCTGCAAAACGAGCAGGGGAGGGCTGAGAGGAGAACAGGGACCCCAAGAGCCAATCTGCAGGGACGGGACATGGATTTCGGAGGCCCCAGTAACAGGCAGTACTCACCAACGCCGGGTAGGAGGGGTAACCCCGGCACTTAGCCCACACCAGGTCCAGGGCATCCAGGGAAGAATCCTCGTCCTCAGAGAGCCACCCTGCGCCACGCCCCATTCCCTTACGCACCACTGTACAGGAGGAGAGGGGAGTCAGCTCTGTCCCCCCAGGTGATGGTGCCAGCCAGGCACACAGCTGTGCAGCCACTGTACTTACTGCCATGCCCCACACCTCGTCCCGTGCCCACGGAGTAGGACTCGTTCTCTGTCCCTGATGTGTCCTCACTGCTGTCTTCTGGGAAGTTCACTCGAGAGAAGGAGGGTTTCCCTCTGCCCTGCTTGGAGGGTGTTGTGCTGCAGAGACAGGGAGCACAGCTATCAGCAGGAGTCATGTTAAGCTTCCAGAAACTGTTTCCCAGCAGGCCAGGCTGGTGGGACACCAGGGCTTGTGGCCTCCAACTCCTGGCCTTGGCACTGGGGAGGACTTGGCAGAGGTACCAAGCAGAAAGGTGGGATGGTGCTTCTGCCAGGGTGCAAGCCAGACCCTCACCCAGTTCCACGTGGGAGGACCAGAAGATGTGCCCTCATCCAAAATAGCGGTGCAGGCAAGAGGTGCTGGTGCTGGCTGCTGCAAGGGCCAACAACAGAGCAGCTGCTGTGCCAATAGGGAATTCCCTAGTTCATGCTTCCTACTAGCCCTGTGCAGCACACTCACACCTTTAGGTTTTACATTAAAAAAGGCACAAACCCCACAGACTTCTAGGGATTAGCAGCTGAGGTGCAGGATGAACGAGATGGGGACCACCAAACGGGGTAATTGTCCAGAAACTCAAGGCTGAGAGCTGCCCACTGCCACCCGGGGCAGCACTGCTGTCAGCAGAGGGCAGTACCTGGTGCGGTCTGAGGCAGCGCTGCTGCTGCTGCTGCTGCTGGACTCCGAGTCGGAGCTGCTCCGGGGAAGATTGCAGTCATTGCGGTACACCAGGAAGCTCTTCTTCACGGGCTGGTTCCCGCTGCTGAAACCGTTGGCTGGCAGGTCTGAAAAACATCCCACCGAAGAGCATTACCACTGCACCAGAGCCTGCCACGTGCTGCCAGTGGGACCACAGCTGCCCGGCTGCACTCACCCATGGTAGCGTCCTCCGTGGATTTGTCACTGTCACTGTCTGAGCTGGAGCTGGGACGTGGGCTTCGCCCTCGCTTCCTCTGCCGCTGGGAGGACCCCATTATTGGTAGCTGGGGAGGCCCAATGGGGCTGCTCCCATGCCCAGGAGGGATCTGGCTGTCTCGATTCTTTGGGGGGCGTCCTGGACGTTTTGGAGGGCCTGCAGTTTTAGGGTTCTTCTTGGAGAAGAGCACAGAGGTCCTCCTGCCAACTTCATGTGCTGGGGTAGAAGAAGAATTGGGACCCAGACCTGGAAGAGGGAGAAGGTGTCAGCTGCAGCCCTGATGGCAGGAACTGCATGGGGAACATTATCTCACAAGATCCTCCCTCACTGTAGGAAGAACCTGCCTTTCCCAGTGCTAGGGGACAGGACTGAAATGCAGAAGTGGCAAACACTCAGTGACACATGGTAGCTCTGCCTGGATCTTTTGCTGTGCTCTTCACAGAGCCCAGCTCAGCATCTCCATCCAGAGAGCTGACAGCTGGCCTGTTCAACTCTCAGCCCTGGGGAGAGCACTTGGAGCTCAGCAGTCACTGCTGCTGCAACTCCCTCCCACGCCCTCTGTCAGGAAGGGACACCGAAGGCAGCCTGCTCCATATGCCCCTAGAAACCAGGCAACGTGGCCAGGCTGGTAGGTCCTAGCAGAAGGAAACAATCCACATCATGCCCCACATCACACAGCTGGAACTGTAAGTCTCTGGAACAGCATCCAGTTCCTCAACTGACAAAGAGATAATTCACCAGGTGACTGCTGACCGCAGCTGTGAACACCAGCAACCTGCCAACTTCCCCAGGGGCAAACACACACCAGGCTGTGGCTGTTCCAGACATAGGACATGACTGCCTTCATCCAATCTCCCCTGTGCGGCTGGCACAGCTCACTACAAACTATCCAGTGAGTATGCTGGGAGGGAGCCTGGGAAGGTACAGATACCATACTCAGCACCTGCCCCTAAGGGAGGCACTACAGGAAAGGAGGACTCCCCACAGGTGTCTCTCAAGAGCCCACCTGCCTCATTCTCATGGAGGAGTTGAAGAGCGAGGTGTGTGTGGGGAGCTGCCCACACAGTCCTCCTGCCTAAGGAGAAAACTGCCAGGGCAGCTTCTCCCCAGACAGGCCTGTCCAGAGGCAGCTCTCCATGGCTCCTCAGACTGGCAACTCTGGCAATATTACCTTTGCCAGTCTCCTGGCTGCTGCTCTCCTCTGCAGCACTGTCTGTCTGCAGGTCCTTCTCACAGGGGTTGTGGGACTGCAGGACTCCCCTGGCAGAGGAGCTGTGCCGCTCCAGCCCATCCCGGCCCAGGTCCCGCGGGTGAGCGAGCTTCCGCCGTAGGACTGTGATCTCCTTCTTGATCATCTTGGCCCGGCGGGACCGTCCTATGCTCTGCTTGCCAGCGTTGACCTCGTCCAGCCGCTCCAGCAGGATCTTTAGCTGCTCCTCCAGCGGCAGGTGCTTCTGATTCTCTGAGAGCAGCAGCCGCACATCTTCTGGGGAAACAAAGAGGAGCAGATGGATCAAAGAAATCGGAAACTCAGTGGAGCTCCTCTACCTGAAGGGGCATGAGGCAATCCAGGTTCCCTGCAGGGGAGAAGGAGCTGGCATGGCACCAAACACCTGTGGACCCTTTAGGGAAGTTATCCTAAAAGACCAAGAGAAGGAGCTGTGTGGGAACTCAGTCAGCTGGAACTACTGGGGAAAGCAGGCTGATCAGCAGTGTGGAGAATACTGGGGTTCACATTGTCTGGAACAAGGATGCAACACAAAAGAAAGGACACACAGACAAACCACTGCCTAGAATCAACCTAATGGGGCTGGTAAGTACCTAGCTAGCAAAACCAGCAGGTCTCCAGGGAGTGGGGACACACAGCCCAGCATTCAACTTAACCTCCCAGAGGAGGCAGCTCAGACTCTTGGGTACCTTGACTCTGCCCAGGCTTTACCTCTGAGCAGCCCTCATACCCTAGGACAGGGAAGGAGTACCCACCATCCTCAATGTCTTGGATCTGAGCCTCTTCTACTGTTACACAGTGGGGGAAGTGCATGCCCGTCTCAAAGTCAATGCCCATCTTCTCTGCCTGCCGGCGAGCCTGCCGGAGCACGGCACCTCCCTGCTCCCGCAGACGGATGGCTGCCCGGTAGAAGATCGTGTCTTTGGCATTGTATTTCAAACAGTTGTTAATAATCAGGTTGAAATCCTCCTCAAAGTCATCGAAATTCAGATAGCGATAGGCTTCTAGATTTTGTTTCATTGTCTGAAAATCCATTGGCTTCTTGATGTGATCCAGGTAGTCTGGGACCTGCATAAGGAAAGAGCCAGAGTTAAGAGCCCAGGAGCCACAGTTAGCAGTACCTGCTCCAAGAAAACAGTTGTTAGAGGAATCAGGTATCGCTCCCTGTGCTCTGCCCAAATGCACATCGGGGAATGCTGTCTGCTTTTGCAGCTTGAGGAACAGCAACGCCTCCGGACTAGGAAGCCCATGTGCTGTGCTCAACCTGTTAGAGCGGATATGCACTCCGAAGCATTTTTACAGCTCCAGCACACACGCCAGCATCCTGTCCTCAACTCCTGCCTGCAGGCAGCTGGGATCCAGTATGCTACATGTTATTCCCTGGAGAGGGAGCTGCAAGTGCAGCCCCAGGGGTGAAGGTGAGTGCAGAAAGGTAAAGCCATCCAGGTGGCAGGTGAGATGGTCCAGCCTTCCTCCCCATCTGCTAAGATGCCTCCATGCTGACCTGCTGCCAGAACCTTGCAGAGACCATGTGGACTTTTGCCATGTTCCCAGGCAGGGACTCAGTGACAGTCTCAGGAATTATCTCCCCTGC